GGATGCACCACACTTCGTGTCGCGATTCAGCGATATCACGGCTCGTCAAGGTGGGTAGCAGTCCTCGTTAGAGCGAGGGCGACGGTAAGGAGCACCGAGGGTGTGCGAGAGGTATCAGTGAGTCTCGCCTTCAGGTCACACCGTCAAATTCGCCTGCGACATAGATGGTAATCCCATGCCCACGGCCGAATGGCTGTACAACGGAAAACCTCTGGCTGCATCAAAAGATATCAAGGTTCGACGATTTTCTCCGACTCTTTCTGATGCGTTTTTGACGTGAAAAACGTCCACGAATCCATTCACTTGAACACTGTGGTGATTTGGTGGAGTGGCTTCTTCCGGGAAACGAGATTTGAGTAATGTGGATCTGCCAATTCGTACAATCACTGCACGTTTATGACACGGTAAGGTGCAGGCGACGGCGGTGGCGATGACGTGAACCGCTGCAATTCTAGTGCTGAGCTCCGATGAACGCAAACCATACTCATGGCCAAATTGTGATATCTTATGGTTCAATTGTCATGTGCGCGTCATTGGCCCGCGACAATCTAATCGAAAAACCAAGGCCGAGCTAGGTTGCTTCCACGCTCATGCGAACGGTTGACGACTGCCCAAGGCGCATCCCACGTAGATAAAGTGGTTCTTGTAGAAGAGAAAGAGGGTGGTTAGAGAACGAATCTGAGCTAGGTGCTCAGGTGTTTAGCATGAGCATGAGTAACTTAAATGGGCCAATAGTAGCCGTTTGCGACTAAAAAAACAAGGTTATGCTCGGTAAGTTCGTGGGGAAGTATGGATTCCTCAGAATAGCCTTTACGGGGATGCGATAGCAAAAAATGCGCCCCAATGACAAAGTCTGCTCCTTCGCTATTTCTTGTGAAGTAGCGTCAAATACTTTTTCGCGGTGCTCTATCCCGAACAGCGCGACTTTCGCTATGTGAATTCGTTCCACATCTTTCTTCTCTTCGGCATTAGGGCCTAATCCGACCCAATGCTAGTTGGACGGGCACGTCGATTTTTTGGATACGGTAGGCGCGAAGTGTATGTGCATAGAGACTGCCCACTGCTATGATGTGACAAGACGCTATGAAGTAGCTCACACATTCCAGCTTTTCACGCATGTCAAGTGACTGCCCTCACCCTCCACCCCCTGAATTGGCTACACTCCCCCTGGCTCACTAATTCTTCAATTCTCGTGACACCATAGTAGCGGGCAGCAGTCCCCACTTACATGCATTTCGCGCCTACCGTTTTCAAAAAATCAGCGTTCCCGTCCCACTTGCATTGCACCCCTGATCCTCCTTTCTACTGTATAGTT